TCCGGGGTTGCACCTCCAGCACCGCTGTGCTGAACATATTTCTTGTGGTCACTCGCTTTGCTACACCCAAATTGCCTCCCACTGAGATGCCGTTTTTTTGCAAAGACCCAAGAGCCAGTGTGGTGCTGTTTAATAGCAACCCCAGCCGTCCTCTTGTCGCTGCAGCGCCGAGCCAGCAGTCTCGCTAGGTAAGCAGCAGCTCTCCCCCCGTGCTCTCACATGCAAAATTTATGACTGCAGCACACCACAAAAGAAGAGCGGGATCCAGTTCTGTCGAGCGGAGCGAATATAGGTTTTCAAATCCCACCGTCCTATATCCCAAGATATTTTTCAGCTGTGTAACAGTGGCAGAGGCAGCCAGCGAGGGGGGAGATTAAAGTGTTCCCGTGAAGCACGTGTCTATTTTCATCCATCTCTACAGAGTATAAGAGTTTGTCTTATTACAGTTAAAAAGAGGGAGCAGACTCCTAAGCACAACTGGGCTGCCTCTCGTCTCACTGTGCACCCCAGAGGAGGCTCCCCCCATGCATACCTGCTCTATGAACTAGAGGATCCTCCTGGAGCCGTAAAAGCAGCGTTCTCCTCTAGAGCCAACTGTGAGAAACACTCTGTAGCTCACATTCACACCAGTTTAAAGAGCCTGCATAATAATGTGCTGCTGTTGATCTCCAAAGACAACCACGACTAAAAGCATGGCCGTTTCTTATGTGCAACCTATGCTGTTGCATAGGGCCCCCCAAAGCTGCTGTAACCCTTTTACTGCGGTTATGTCGATGGCAAAACAAAATGACTTTCATACTTAACCGTGACTCTTTGACAGTTTGCGCAATCAACATTCTGAAAGCTGAGACCATAGATATCATATAATATATATGATATCTATGGCTGAGACGATGTACTTTTCAGTGGTATACAATACATTACAGTAATGTTACGCAAGCCCCTGCCCGAGAACCAGGAAATAAACCGTTTGCCATGTGCCGTGCTTAGAGGAGCGGAGGAATTGTTTTGGGTACGTATTTTCAACTTCTATCTCATCTACTGGTGTAAATAATTATTTTCAGTCAATTTCCTACTATTTTTTTATTTAGTAATGAGATTATATTTAGTCGTTTTTGACATTGCTTAGGCGTTTGTTTTTTTTTTTGTACTCGTTCGGTCACCCATAGTTGTCTTTTTTCAGCTGCGTTTTTCACTGAGGCTTTTTAATATTTTATACGTTGGATTTGTTTTTGTAAATAAACCAGAAACCATGAAACCTTCTAGAAAGAGGAAACTTCCCTCAAAAGTTGCTGATGAGGAGCAAGATGTGCCCACATTGTTTTTCCATCCCAAATGCAGTAAGTATCTCTGCACTAAACCCGTTCCAGTTTCTAGTGACCCTTTGCACGTGACGTCCCACCACGCATGTGACCGCCCCCTTCACCATGATGGACGGCAAAAAGACTGTTTACACCCGTAGAAACTCCAGTGAAGGTAGTCAAAACAAGCCAGTTTGTAGCCTTTTATCACTTTTATTTAGTTGATTTGACAGTAAAATGGTTTTAGCTTGCTGCGTGGTTAGCTGCACCAAGAGACAAGGACGTAAACTCAACTCGTTTTTTCTTTTTAAAAACTTTGATGGAGACTGAGGATGGAGATGAACTGCAGCGATCAATCAAGCGGACTAACAGCCCTCAGATTTGCAGCGAACATGTTTTTACCGGGTAAGATTAACGTTAATTTATTTCACGAGGAAGACAGGGATAAATGTGATGTGTTTATACTAGTTATTGATAATCCTGATCGATGGGTATTTCACCACGGAGACTGCGCTCCGTCCACTGTAGTGTAAAGCAAGACAATTAACAATATTAAAGCTCCGATGTATGATTACGTGTGTTAAAATTACATTATTTATTTTTATGAGCGTCGGCGTTCAGAGATCTTCTCATTCTGGTGTGAGAGCAGCAGCTGAACCCGGTAACACCACCAGCAACAGAAGCTGGTAGGGATCCGGACTTTTTAAAAATCAGCTTTGGTGTAAAGTCAAATGCTGTTTATAACATAAAGTTATAAATCCAGAGGGGTGACTTTAGGCAAAGTCAGCAACATGTTTACATCGGTGAACAGCTGCAGAGAGAACGTAAGCTAACGTCGTTAGTTAGCATTCCACTCTATTAGCCCCCGCTAGATGCGCTACTTCTTCTGATAACTGAACTGGGCATGAAGTAATTGAAGGAATGCTGGAGGAGTTTTGTTTTTGTTTTGATCGCAAAAACAATTTCAGGCTCTACTTTTCCCTTTGTTTAGTACTTGTGTCGCTCACTGTTTACATGCTTTTGCCGTCCACCATGGTGGACCCACGTGATTAGGTGACGTTGGTGCAAAGGGTCAATTGTCTAGTATTTCCGCTAATAGTATTACTATAATATTATATACTATTACCGCTACCTCCAGGAAAATAAAAGGTCCGTGTACATCTGTGGTTGAAGATTCAGGTGTGGATGAAGATGATTTGCCATCACAGCTGCAGTAAGTTTATCTACAGTTCAAATATATTTCTGGCTTTAGTTCTGTTGTTTTTTTTTTTGTTTGTTTTTTTGTTTTTTGTTTTTTTTTACAGTTTTCATTTTCTAGGATTTAACACTTGAGTATATTTTATGAAATCTGATGTATTCATAATTTTAGAGATTCTTCTGATGAAGAGCCATCCACCATCACCAGCAGTAGGCAATGTCAGAGAAAGGATTCTGCTGGAAATGCTCCACATCTTCTGGACAACAAAGTCAGACCCAGGTACCGCCGACCCACGACACCCAGATTAATCCCCAGAAGAACCCCTGGCTATCAGCTGCCTCTCACCAGCTCCACAAACAAATCAGCAACAAGTAGCAGAAAGAGGCCGTGAAACAACAATTTCAGGAGCAGCAGTGTGCACAGGATGAAAACCCTCCAGTGACCTCCACTCAAGGTCACATCCCTGTCCCCTGGACCAGTGGAGAAGGAATGGACAAGCACAGAGGGCAAGTCAGGGGTGAAACAGGTACACTATGTGCAAAAAAAAAAAACACTCCCTGGATGTGCAAAGAGTGCAAGAAGAAGTTTAGTCTGCAGCAGGACAAGAACTGCTCTGCAGAATACCACAACAGCTAAAAACACATGAACACTGCCAGACAATATCTACAGAAACTCAAACGCTTAAAGTTGTACATATAGATAAATCAATACAAGGTTGTAATACATGTTATGCTTGATTTCTGCTATTTCAGATTTTTGTTCATGTACTTTTATATTTTCTATTCAGAAATTTCTGAAGAAAAATCAAATGCTTTTTTTTATTTCAGTAATAACATACTATTTAGGTTTAAAACACCAATTATAAACCACACACCAGCTTTAAATGTTAATAGCCCAATAAAACCAGAGTTATACTTAAAATAATTAAACCTCAGACCATCAGAAAGATTGTGATCTTGACCACTGTCTTGATACAGGAATCTTTAATCAATTGTTGTCGTACTTGTTCACATGTAGCCCCTTTATTATGGTTTGTGTGATGTGAACATCCCTCCCAGGGTGGAGTGCTGCACTCTGACTGCTTTCTAGTTTTTATTATATTTCTTGAGTATTTAATTTTAATACTGTACCATGTTTTGCTTGCAATTTGTGACAATTCATGGTGTGTTTATAGATCATCAGTTGCAGTTTGTCAAAATAGGGGGCCCCAGAACATTATCTTGCATAGGGCCCCCACAATGCTAGATGTGCTCCTAGCAGTGAACCCCAGGAAGGCAGCCGGTCCAGACTGAGTACCTAGCAAAGTACTAAGAGCATGCACACACCAGCTCACCCTCCTCTGCAGACTATTCAACCTCTCACTGGATCAGGCAGCCATCCCATCCCGTCTAAAATCAGCCACAATCATCCAAGTACTGAAGAAGTCTCCCATCTGAATTTATGAAGGTTGTATGATGGTGGTTTGTACAACAGCATATAATGATGGTTTTAAAGTCTGTGCACTAAAAAGCAAAGCTTCCAGGTTGTTGCAATTGAAAGCCATACTTTTACACATAATGCTGTTTTTGTGATAGAAACCAACACCACCACCATTTTTGCTTCTGAAAATAGAAAATAGTCCAGTTTCATCATATGAGTCAGATCTTGTTTTGTGGTGAAAAGTCCAACCTGGCAGTTAAATGCTTTCAGGGGGATGTGTTTCTTTTAACTTAGGCATTAATTTCAAGTTTTCTTCTATATCACTTCTTGCATAGATTGCTTTAGCTTTAAAATCTTGGATAATAAGGTGTTCTAGTGGTGTAGCATGACTTAAAGCTACTTATGCTTGTCCAGCAGAAAAAAAATTCTTTTAACAGACTACTGCTTTCTGTAGTGTTAGGCCTTGGACTTTATGTATGGTGCAAGGCCAAGCCAGCCGCAGTGGAAATTGACGTCTAACCCCCTTTACAAGTTTATCTTCATCAGGACTAATTGGTGTAGCATTAGTCAGCTCTGAGTCTGAAGTTGGAAACTTGTGTCATAGTTGTTGGCCAATGCGTGGGTTATCAAAGTTAACAAATGTGTGGGAAGCTATTGTTACTTAGAAATTGTATGCGACAAACAGTACCAAACACACCATTAAGTCCATCAGAAACATCAATGTTTTTAATGAGCATTACATGAGCTTTGGAGCAATACTTACTAATTTATCTAAATAGGTTTTCTTGGCAAAATCATGTGTTGAGGGTATTCTAGTGGTACGGGTTTTTATGGAAATCTTGGGCTTTGATTTGTACAATGTCTGTACATTGTTTATGCAACATGTTGAAGTTATGATTGTCAACATCATTGTTTGTTGCAAAAACATGCAGAATTTCAGTGTCTTCACCCAATGATAGTGTTTTTCAACCCGCGGGTACCGCAGATTTGAAAACGTCTGACCCGCCCCAAGCCTCCCCGCATCACTAGGTCTATTTTTACAACCCTCATTAAAAACACGTTAGTGATTTATTGTGCTTTTATTCAGACAAAGTGGTAGTAACATTTACATTTTTTAAGGCTAAAATAAATAAAATAGGCAGATAAAGTTTAAAATTGTATTAAATAAGGGTTATTTTTCTTTGTTACCCTACTAACAGTGCAATAACCCAATACAGAAACAGCACCTAGAGCCCCTGCTTGGGCAAACAAAATAGTAAAACATTTTACAACTTTTAAACATTTTGAAAGCCAACAAACGCATTCCCTGTTCTGTCCTTGTTTTTGTCCAGCAAATGCTGAAAACTGAGATTGACAATGATGGCTGTTTACAATTAGTAGAAACATGTGCAGTTATGAAAGAACAAATAAAGCTCTCTGTAATGCAATGTCCAAAGGCATGGCAAAATCTGAAACATCTTCATGGTAAATCTGCTGATGATGATGTCCTGTGAAGGTCTGCATGTATTCCAAAGAGAACTTGTGATGATGGAATGTGTGCTCTGTGGGTAATTCTTGAACAAAATCATAACCACTGCCTTCTGCAGCACTGATCATGTTTTGCTCTTTCATGTACGTGTAAACTATCACCACTTATCAAGATATTGTTAATGTCTTTTCTTGACCATGTGGAAGCCATTTTCACAGTGTTTGTCATAATGGCTGTAATGCTGTTTGGTGCACACCGTTTAAATCGGTTGCACCCAAAACGCTTTATGACCTTGATGAAATGAACCTTTGACAATAGAATGAAAACTGTTCAAACTTTCTTGATTTGATGAGGAAAATGCAATGGTAACACTTGAAGCTGCAGCACCAGGAGCATCAAGGAACTTCTCAGGTTGAACATTTGTCTCCTTTCACATTCCTGTGAAAACAGAAACAAAAAAAATCAAAAATTAGAACAAAATTCATGAATAAAATGGGCATGTTTTCACTTGGGGAAAATGTCAAACCTGTTGCTTTGTAGCATCTCCTAGGTCAACAGGTCCTATGTCTTTGAGAGCATTGTGTTCTGTTAAAATTAAAAAAAAGTTTAATATGTAAGGAATATATGTACTGGAAAGAATATGTGTAGGATTAAGTACGCTGTTAAACATCAATAATCAGAATATGTCATAGGCCCCACCATTTTGCCTTTTGGTACAGGCGATGGAACACTGCATTTGTCCTTGTTCATCTGGAGATGGTGGAGAACCTCAGCAGTCTTTCAAATGCGCCTGGGAGTGACAGCAAAGCTTTTGGAAATCACATCAAGATATTTACAATATATTCTAGTATTGTGAGTTTTAAAATCATTTGTTAAGCACATGATGTGATGTCAACAACAACAATCATATCAAAATCCAGTCTCAGACCTGGTCCTTGGAGACATCTGTGCATGAAACAGATCGGTCTTGGACAGCAGCTGCATACTGTTAAAATGAAAGGTTTATTTAAATATACAAAGAATTTAAATATGCAAAGAATATAAGTATTTGAGTAAAAACTTTAGAATGAGCATCATTCAATGAAAAAAACTGATGGGTCTCACCGTTTCGCCACTGGGGGCTGGTGATGGCAAATTGGCATCACCAGTTTTCACTTTCAGCTTTTGAAGGACCACACTGCAGTCCTTCAGGTACTTCTGTAAGGAATTATTGTAATCCAAAGGTTTCAAATAAAGGCAACAAAACTGATTTAGTTTATTTGAATGATTATTCACCTGAATACGATGAGACATCCGTGTGCCACGTGAGCCTTTTGGATGAATCCGAGATGTCTGAAAGAAAATGTCATTAAAAGGTTTTATGTTAATTTTTCTATTACTGTACCTCTTAAGCAATATTACTACTTTTTATTGTATAAGTATTGTGTGTGTGTAAATCTTAAGTACCTCTCTCTGCAAGTGTTGGCCATTCATGATCAAAAGAGGGCATGATCACTTGCGCCTTCATTGGTGCTGTTGTAGTGGCAGGGGGTTTCTGGATCGTTGTTGCCTGTCCCTGAAATAAAAAATAAAACAGTATACGATACTCGTAATTACTTTGCGCATGTTTTACAGGAGGACTTGAACAAATAGAAAAAAAAAGAAAAAAAAACAAACCTGCATGTTAACACTTTTGTCTTTTCCAGAGGACACTGGCTTTCCTCACCTGTCATCAAAATATGAACAGATTGTAAATTCTTAGGCGACAAATATCTAAAATTAATGATGACTCAAAGATTAATATCAAAACGCTTTAATGAAAACATATTTCTTCGTATTTACCTTTTCTTCGTATTTACCTTTTTTTGTTGGACATCTGGTGAAAGCACATCTGGACATTCAGTACTGTCATTTTCCAAAACATGCAGCAGATCTTCATGGAAGTATTTAGGATTCACCTCAAAGCAGTCTCCGGCCTGAACATTGTGATGTAGACAATGTTAGAAAAAGTCATATCAACTTGGCGAACAAAATAATAAAAAGAATGATCTAATTTAATAATTAAAATTAATCATTCATCTTATGAAGAAGAATTCTCTTTGAAGATGATCTTCTCTGCTCCTTTTGACCAGCTGGAGGAGACCTCTGAAAAAAATCATGACATTTTTATATTACATGATTGTTGAAAATCTAAACAGCAAAATGATGTCTGCAGTTGAAATAAAAACAATTTACCTTCTTGCCAGGCAAAACCATTCGATTGGTCTGCTTGGGGTTGTATGGGCTTTTCATCTTGACCGACCACTCTAGCAGCAGACATCTTGGGGGTAACTTGGGCCTTCTGACTTTGGAGGTGCAGGTATGTTTTTTGCCAGAGCAATTGTGAAAAAATGCCCATACCGTCACAGTCACTGAGATGAACCTATAGAGAAAAAAAAACAAACAAACACATTTTTAGCTAAAGCTAATACCTCTTAATCATTAAAAAAAAATCAGCAAGCTTCTCACTTACCCCATCTCTGCCCCACAAATCCAGGCGATGAAAGGGGAAGTTCTCAGCGATTGATTAGTATGTGACATCTGAAACAAATATATTTTGTTAACAATTAGTTTTTCCAATTAAAAGCATTTTGTAAACTGCACAATAAAATTCAACATACCCATTTGTACTGAGACTCTGAAACATCATGCTCAGATGGTCCTGCACAACCGTGTCATGGCTCAGTCTTGGAGGGAAATCCAAAACAAAAACCTGTTTTCCACAAATTTTACATGTCATTAAAAAGCATTCTGGAAAAAAGCACCAGAATATAAATTTGATTCAGTAATTGCTTTTCTAATGCACATTTCTAATTACATCTATACTTACCTTTGGACAAAGAGTGCAAATGGTGTTCAAAAGATGCTTGAAGTCTTTTTCTGCTTCTGAGATTGGACTGTCCAGGTTGTTGCTTGGAGCAAGTAGAAACACTGCATCTGGAACACGTGGGAGAACTAACCGGCGGACCTCAGTGGTAAGGTGGGCTGCTGTACCACCAGGAACTGACAGGTAGCCAAAGGACAGCTTCCTCCAAGACGAGGCTGACACTAACAATGATCCAACACCACATTGAGACACAGACAGGGTTAAATACATTGGGGCAGGATGAGTGGGAGATGAGCTGCAGGTGTGTGGGGAGAGAAACCTAGTGAAAACAATTAACTAATCAGGGAGAGGAAAGTGAGTCGAGGAGGGGAAAATAACATGACCTAAGAATAAAACAAAACCTAAAGACAAGAAGAGCAAGATAAATAATTAATGATCTAAGGAGGGAGGAGAACTAAAAAACCGGTGGGGAAAGAAAGCCACTAAAATGGGCCATTCCCATCTGTACCGGGTCGGCCCGGGCAGCGTAGGTTGTTTACATATCTGGGTGGCCTGGTATTTTTCCGGGCCAACCAAGGCTCATTCTCAGCCCTCTTCTCGAGGGGGTCTGCTTCAGGCCGACCAGGGCCAACACACCCACTGCTGACAGCAAATTCACACCTTCCATTACAGCAAGCCTCTGATTGGTGGGTAGAATCAGCCCAAATGGGCTTAAGGCAAGGATGTGTGGAATCAACCGGGCCAGGCTGGGGCCGACTCAGTACAGATGGGAATGGCCCAAAAGAGACTAATTAAATGAAAAGCTGGACCAATAGAAAAACTACAGAGGGGTGACTAGGGGAGACCAACAGCAGCACAGGACCTGGGGGTGGGGGGGGGGGGGAATACCTGGGGGGAGAACCTGGAGGGGCTGCAGACAAAGAGACACATGAGGAACACAAGGAGACACATAAGGGGATCCTAGAGGGGGATAGAGAACACAAGGAGACACATGAGTGAGACGCAGATGCAGACCATGACAAAAAGTCGTACAGCTTGGCACAACCTCGAACAGCTCCTCCACAGTCTTCGGCATAAACTGTCTGTTCTTCAAGGCCTGAGCTCTACGGTACCCTTTGCCACAAGGCATCTACAAAAAGGAAAAAAATACCATAAATTCAGCACTATGCATTATCACTAAACAAATACATTACACACTAATGTAATACCATGTATTTATTCTATTAAATAGATGATACACAAACCTGATGGAATATTTATCTTCTATTTAATAGACAGATTACCTATTAAGCAACAAAGACCTGTCTTGTTATTGGTCATTAGTATTTCTTTTTATCTATTCATATTTGAAGTTGGTCAAATGAAGATAACTGAACTCCTTTGGTTTCTTGAAGACGTTTCTCTTCTCATCCGAGGGGCTTTGTCACTTCAAACTGGAATATGGGAGAGTCAAGCCTATAAGCTGTAACTGTCGTTATTCAGGGAGCCAAAACTACTGTGGGTGTGTCCGAATCCAGAGGAAGGATGCTTGTAAGAGCGCATTTTGAGGTCGATGACGTCAAAGCGCAGCGACGAGTACTGTCCGAATTCCAAGAATACTCATTCTTGCGTCCTCAAACGCGTCCTCGCTCCACCCACATTTCGAGGATGGGTCTGATGGATCCTCACAGGAGCAAGGGTATCCCAGCATGCTTTGCGCGCCGCCCGCTGGACTCAGCACTCGCAACAACGGCGGACGGAGCGGGACAGCAGTACAGCTTAAAATGTAAGTTAGTTAAAAAAATAGCGGTCAAAAAAATAAAATACGTGTTTGGGCACTTTTGGTTTGTTTTTTATATACGATCTAATACCGCAAATTGTTTTTTTTTTTCTTCATGTAATTTAAGGCTAAAACATGCCCCACCGAAAACCAGCTTGAATGTTTAATAAGAAAAACCCCACCGTAAACTAGCTTGATCCCAGCAGGCTTTTTAAAAGAAAATAGCGGTATACAAACGAAAAATGTCTATAAACAGAACCGCTTTCAGCTTAGTTTTCTAAGTACATTTTAAGCAGAAATCAGCGAGAACGAGCTTGTATGGTGGTCCCGTCATAATTCCCGTGTGTGTGTGTGTGTGTTTATTTAGCGAATAAAGCTTCTCATCATTTGTTTTAAGGTTAACACCCCACCGTAAACTTGCTTGAAAGTCTAATAGGAAAAAACTCACCGTAAAAGAGCTTGCATCTTATGTAATTATGTAACGAACGCCAAAAATAACGAAAACTAAGTTTAATGTTTATTTAAGTTAATTTTTAAGAAACCACATTACTGATTTAATGTTTTTAATTTCATTTTAGGCGGAAAAAAACACAGAACACAATTTTCATCTCCCATGTTGATAAATTAAAATATTGTTTATTGCATGTTTTATCAACTATGATTTATAATCTGACTTTGTTCTTCTATTCCTCTCTATTCTCATCCAGAACCAGTACCTTTAAGGAGCATCTGTAATTTCATTATGCCCACAGTGTTCTCTGTTGTTAAATGACAATAAAGCCTTGTAATTCTAATTCCCTTTGTCTGTAGGACTGCAAGTATCCAGGGTCAGGAGAGGGAGTCAGCGGAAAGCCCACTGCTGAAACCTGGCCCTGGTTTGTCCCCATGGACGAGGTGTTGGGACAGAGGCCTTCCACTATGCCTCCTGTCCTTATTGCTTCCATTCCCGAGGACACTCCAAGGCCAAGTGCAGCAGTGGGTGAGACAGAGGACAGGGAGAGTGGTGGAAGGAAGCCGGACTCATCATCAGGGAGAAAAAGGAGAAGGGCTGATGAGCTCCTTGACCTGATCAGGGAGGACATGAGACAACAGAGGGAAGCGGAGGAGAGGAGAGAAAGAAGGATGGACAGATTTTTAGCATTGATGGAAAGGATGGCAGAGAAATGTTTTTTTTTTCTTTTAGTTTCTTCTGGTTCAGGTTCTATATATGTGTTTGAATGTTTTTGTTATTTGTTTAAATGTAATAAAATTTCTATTAATTGATAACTCTTTTTTGATCATTAACAGTTTTATTATTCAGTTTTTAGCAAGTAACAACATAGTAAATAAATTGTAAGGGAACACTGTAAGGAATAAAAGTAAAGATAAAAGTAAAATATATACAGTAAACTTGGAAAGCAGGGAGTCTTTGGTGGTGTTGCTAAATCTACTGAACATGGATCATCGAGGTGGATGGAGTGCAGGAACCGAGATCCGTGGCTGAACTTTTCTGGTTGGCAAGTGAAACATCAGACAGAGTGGTCTGCAGAGGTCTGTGTCATCTCACTGTCCACTGCATCGTCCATCAAAAGGGTTTGCTGGGCTGGCTCAATCGATGGCTGTCACATCACTAACATTCAGATATATGCAAAAAAGGAGATCATGAGTATAATACTTGTATCTCTAGGAGATAACAGGACTAAATGATTTTTAAACTAGAGATTCCTATGTAAATTACTTGCCTGATAACAGTAATTGTGATCTGGTGGTACTTCCTCCAGAGCAGACACCTCAGCAGAAAGTTGGTCCCGCCAGAGGGCACCACTGACTGCCTCCAAACCAGCCTCCCCCTCATCTTCTGGAGCATCATCCTCCAGTTCATCGTCCTGCACCACAATGTCACCAGCACTGAGGCAGATGTTGTGCAGGATGGTGCATGCTGTGATGACCTGTAATAGAGATAAAAATT